TACAAAAGACAAGCCGTTGTCTGGTGATATCATACCGCATAATCGCACTGGTTAGAGAAATACTTGTCATAGCTGTTCATATTGATACGCTACGCACAAGGCAGAAAATCTTAAGTGCGTTCAAAGGGATCTTGATTAACTGAGAAGTTAGCTCAACAACTGCAACAGCAAAACAACGCTATTCCTATCATGCCTGTTCTCCAACAACTTCAGGACAAGTAAGTGTTAACATTAGATAACAATCAGAGAGTTACAATTATGTGGTTCCCTGATGCAAAGTTCATACGCAGAGATTCTACATCCGCGCATTGTTGAGTATGAGTAGGATAGATGTTTACCTTCTATTTTATATAGTATTGCATACGGGAAGTAACTACTAGCTCCATTTGCCTTATATTTAGATACATACCCCTTAAGCTTATACCTATATGTTCCTTAGTTTATTAACACTAACTTATGGTCTTTATAGTCGCTATACTACACGTGGTAGGAATAAATATATCGCGTTCGTATGAAAATTTATGTCGCCTTAGTATGCAAAATTATTTTGCTTTGGTTTGAATACTTATGTCGCACTAGTATGTGTTGAAGATACGTCACAAATCTTGAACATTTTTTGATATACTTGGATATGATTGTTATGCCATGAATTTGAAATTTTTCATAAGCTGAATCCACGATTATCCCAGATCTCATATATTGTGGCTAAATCTCGCGTAGATGCTTCTATACATGGCATTTGATTTTGTGCTGCAGGTTGAGGACAATTCAAATTAAGTGATGCGCGGATGCACAACCTTTGTGTGTGGACATGCGTCCCTCTTGTGTGCATGGGTGTTTGCTAGGTGTCGAGGTGTTTCTAACTTGATGTACGGATGTCCATTTTCTAGCGGCGTGAATGCAATTTATACCTAGGTTAATGACGAGAGGTGTTGTGAGGGATGTGTTAGTTAAATACAAGTTGTTTATTGTCACTACTCCTAGTCACTAGGTTCCTATGCATGCTGAGGGCTTTTTCCATGTTCCAATATTTATTGTCCTGGGTTTATATATTCTATTACTACTGCAAAAGCTTTAAAGCAATTTCAGAATATGTTAATAGCTAAGGCTTTTAATATGTTGCCTTGCCCAAGTTGGCATAATTAACCTGTATTTGATTTGTGCTTTTAGTGTCACCCTTCTTTAGTTTCCATGACCACTGAGCTTCCCATCTTTCCCTTGGCAGCAGCACTTCAGCTGTTGGTGTTGAAGGATGGTAATGAACCCATCGATGTCATCTTTAGAGACCTTTTGTTGAATGGCAGTATCTGACATTATTGTTACTTATTATTGTTGTATCGTGAATTGTATGTATTCTAGTTATTCACTATATCTAAACCTAAAGACAAGAAGGTCAACTTCTATTCTATTTATACTCTACAATATACGGATATCGCATTCCGTGTATCTGCATGGCATACATGAGCTGCATAATTGTAATTCCTTGAATATTAACACATGTCAATGATGTCAACAATGTCAACACCTACTTGTTATGCCTTCATTTGTCACCACTCCATGAATCCACATTAATCTTCACCTGCTTTCTTCCGCAGGCTAGGACTATGATTCCTCATTAAACAATCCTTCTTACAACACCCCCATTTCTTTATGTCATAATTGGTCCATTCACACTCAGTAGCTGAATACAATTGCTTCATCAATTTATTGATCTGAGTTTTCTCTAAGTCCGCGTTATCTGTTAATTTGATCACATGTAAATTTTTGTGGAAAGTTGTATCTTTCTGACCAATATTATCGAGCGAAATCTTTTTTAGCTTATTCTCTGATAAATCGATTTCCTTGAGTTGAGATACTCCCCCCGGAAACGTTAACTGAACTTTCTTTATGCCATTCAAAGATAGATCCAACTCTTCTAGAGAGTTGCTTGAGAATTCAATGATAGCTTCTTCGAACCTTCCCCAGGTTAGTTTCAAACATTTCAAGTTCATCAACTTACCCAACTGCGATGGAATATTGCTTATATGATGCAACTCGATCAGTTCAAGCGTATCCGGTAACTGTGTATCAAATTCCTCATAGTTTGCCATTTCAATGTACAAAGATTTCAACCTGGACTCTGCGCCAAAGCTCATGCTGTGAATGTCTGTCGCGTGTCTGATTTGCAAACAAACCAAGTTATCGCCAAATTGACACAAAGTCTTTGAGGAGAATTCTGACAAAAGCAAGCATCGTACAGACCCAGGCAACTTGCAAAGTGGTACATCAATATTGAAGGCGAACCCAAGTTGAACATATTCCAATTGTAGATCTCCATAGCAATTATTCTTTGTGAGATCAACTCTGTCTATTTTGTTTTGCTCTAAGTTGAGTTTTTTAAGTGCACATGGCAAACTGATTCCCTCAAAGTATTTCATTTTGTTCAGAGACAAGTCCAAGCTTTGCAATTTTTGGGGAAAAGAAACTCCTTCAAGGGACTCAATTTTGTTTGACGACAAATCTAGAAATTTGACCGAATTGGGAAATCTAATTGATTTAATGTCATCAGAAGTCAATCCACAATCTTTTAAAGTTAAATGTTTCAAGTTCGTGCATCTTGATAGATCCGCAGATAGAACCTCCGAAGATCTTCCTAGGTCCGATAGGTAAAGATACTCCAATCCAGAAGGAGCCATCTGCACTACCTTGTCTACTTGAACGTAAGGGTGTCTTATAAATTCCAACATCTTCATAGTTGAAGGTAATTGCAACCACGAGGTTAATTCGATGTTGCCACTCCCACGAAGTGCAAGTCCTGTGGATGGAAAAACTTTCAATGGACTCGAAAGTTCACCTTCTAAAGACAATGACTCTAACTCAAATCCCACTTCTACGACAGCTTCCTGCGTTAGCTTTACAAAATCACTAATACGACCAGTTCCATGCATATAAGCAAGACTATTAGTTTTAGGAGATGTTGTGTTGCAGAGCATATACCTCATAAACTTTGCCAGTGGTACTTTAAATCCCAAGCCGATGTATAAACTGTCAAGAGTAGGCAATTTGCCTTTATTGTCAATAACATCCTTCAAGTGTAATGAATAGCAACGTAGTTTTTTCAAAGATGGGGGCAAGCATCCCAACTCAAGCTCAGGAGAGCATGCATACGTGAGCGACTTCAAGTTGGAACAGCTTGAAAACGACCCTTTGACCGACCCTCCAACTAGCTCTAACATTTCTGCTTTCTCAAACAAGCCAAGTTCCATCTGGCCTTCAAAATAAGCAGCACCTTGTTGGATCTTGAATGTCAGTATGCGACTACTCAAATGACGGATACTTTGACAAAAACGGCTCAAGTCAAACAAGAGGGCCGAACAGTACCAAAACTCTACTGTTATAGAGAGCTTTACAACATTGCTCGGCTTCAAACTGAAGCACATTTCTTCGAAGCTTAATATGTCAGTAAAGTTTTGAAGATTGACCAATATTTTAGATTCGACTTCAATGCTTTCCACTACACAATACTCATCCAACGCAAGGAAGTCATTTCGTGACTCAAGTTGTATATGACTCTGTTCATACAATTTCCCAACATTTAGCTCTTCAATTGGTTTCAGGTTAAACCAATTCCACCAATTCAAAACGCTATTGTCGTATCTGAATCCATTTGTTTTAATTTCATAATCAAGACAATTCTTCAAATTCTTATTCTGGTGCAAAAATGTGCTATCGGCAAAGAGACCAACGAGATTCTCCACACCACATATAGATATTATGATTTTCAAAGTCTCGCTTGGGTATAGATCTAGCAAAATTCTCAAACTTTCTTGCATATCTTTCATGGGGATTTATACTTAATCGAATTAAGCTGGGTATCAATATGGAATCCTACTAGGAAGCGGAATTCAACTGGTGCTGCTTGGAGTCATTCTGCAAACGAAGTAAAGAAAAAAACTTACTGAAACTGATGAGATTTTGAGGTGGTATAAAAATGACGAAATAAGATTGAGAATTGAAAACATCTTACGATTATTTAAAGTGGTACAGTCTTTTTATTTTTATTTCATACTAGTGCGACATAAATGTTCATACCAACGCGACATAAATTGTTCAAACTAGTGCAACATAATTTTGTTTTATGTGATTTTGTTTCCCGTAGGAAAGAAAAATATTAATATAATAATGAAGTTCAAGCTGGAGTTACACACAAACAGATATGTAGATGGACTTGGAAATTCTTTTACTTTGGAGTCAGACCTCATGGATTTGGACTGCCAGACAGCTCCATTAGAGTCCTGTTTTTGTTACAGTGATTACAATGAAGCAGTCCCTCCAACTAAAATTGAAGCTGACAATTTACATTCCAATATGGACTGTGATGATGTAGATGTAGATGTAGACGTTAGCCCTGAACAGGATGGAACCTGTAAATTTAAAAGAGGTCCATACAGATACTACTCGGAAGCTCAGAAGCAAAGATTCTGGCAACTAGTTATCGAACAAGGGTCTTCTGCATATAGAGCTGCACAAGCACTCAAAATAAGTTTACAAATAGCTTATACTTGGAAAAGAAATTGGAATCGCCTTATTGCTAACGAAATTAATGGTATTTATAAAGAGCCAAAAAAGCGTGGCCGCAAACATCTTCTCACCGAAGAACACAAACCCTTTTTGAAAGAGTTGGTTCTTTCGGACCCAACTGTTACCTTGGACTTCTTGTTGGAAAAACTAAGAAGTACATTTGAGGACGTGAAGGCAGGTATTTCTACTATTTATAACTTTCTCACCAAGGTATGCAAGTTTAGTCTCAAGAGACTTTCTAAATGGGCCATGAGACGGGATCTGCCAGAATTAAAACAACAGAGATTCGATTGGGCACTTGAGAATAAGGATAAAATTGACCTTGAAAAGAATTGTGTTTTCATTGATGAGGCTGGTTTCAACATCAGTATGAGACGGGAATATGGGTGGCCAAAAGTAGGTGAAAAGGCTGTCCTTAAAGTTCCTGTCACCAGAGGTCTCAATGTGTCATTCTTGGGTGCTATCTTTCCAAAAGGGTGTATTGACTTGAAGGTGCGACTCCCAGTCGAGAATGCTCCTAACAAGAAGAGAAAAGTTAATTCCAACACTACCATTTCGGAAAAGAAGTCGAGGGTTGGTACCACAGCCGATCATTTCTACTCCTTTGTCAAGTCTGTGCTTAGAGAAATTGAAACAAACCAGGAACTTAAGGAAATGAAGTATTTGGTACTTGATAACGCAGCGATCCATAAACGTCGCGACCTCGAGTTATTGGTAGCACTGAGTGGAATGGAACTAGTATTTTTGCCAGCTTATTCACCTTCATTGAATGCAATTGAAGAGTTTTGGTCCGTATGTAAAGCCAAGGTTAATGTTGAAGGTTGGTAACGAATCCATCTATGTCATCTTTAGAGACCCTTTGTTGAATGGTATTATCTAACATTATTGTTACTTATTGTTAATTGTTGTAGCCTGAATTGTGTATGTTCTAGTTACTCTCTATATATGTAGCTATATAAGTAGAAGGTAAACTTCTATTCTATTTATACTCTACGTTACACGGATATCGCATTCCGTGTATCTGCATGACATATATGAGCTGCATAATTGTAATTCCTTGAATGTTAACACATGTCAACAGTTATGACACGTATTCTCTGACCGCTTGCGATTATGTGGTTTTGGTTTGTTTCAAATGGGGTATTTTCTCCCAGTACTCCACATAAGGAGTCCGATGTGGTGCTAGTTATGTCTGGCTGAGAAGTGTACTTCTTCTTCAGTACTTGATGGTAATCTCATTGGAGTGATGAAGTCGAAGTAATTTCCTTGATTGCTAAATGCGTAACTTGTTGGGCATAATCCTGGCTGCATTTAGATGACTAATAGCAGTCAGTAATATAAGTAACAGCATTAAGGTCATGAGCCACCTCAGATTGCTTCAATTCAAAATGTAAATAGTTAAGTCACAACTGCAGAAAGCTTACTTCCCTCAGTCTCTGCTTCGACTAACAAACATCCAGATTGTGCACTGACACTTGAGCAACGGATTTCAGGTACATGGCCCATTCACATTCATACCCGTTCACATTCACATTCATACCCATTCACATTCACATTCATACCCGTTCACATTCACATTCATACCCGTTGTGTCTCTGGTGAGATCAGTGTCACCATTGAATTCAACCCAGTTGGTCACACATATAGCTCCATTCAATACTCCAAGCTCAAATATAACCTTCCCACAATCATCCACTCCACTTGGAATAAACTCCTATTGGACATGACTTTACTCTAAAGTTGTGAGTGTCTAATTAATGGTCTCCGTAACTCGTCTCTCCACTTGGCATCTGGTGCTGACACGA